CAGGAAGCGGAGAGGGCCAGATTCGTAGTGGAAAAGGTGAGTGTTCCACCAGATGGCAGGAGCCTCTCTTTTCCCTTTCTCCCATGCGCAGCCTCCCTGTTTGCTGGGTGGCCTGGAAATTCATCATCTGTCATCTCTCCTTCCGGGATAATCGGAAGGGGATTGAAGGAACCGGACTTCTGCAATTGGTTCCAGAGTCTTTGGGGGCTAGTCAGGGCTATGTTCCTAAATCACTGAAGGGTAATTTTTTTTTCCACTTCTTTAAGATCAAAAACACTTGCCTACAAATAAAAATGTTTCTCCTGGAGTATTTTCAGCTTCACTGAGAAGCCATTTCAGTTACATAGTGAAAGCCGACAGCAGCAAAGATCAGACATTGCGCCAGATGTGCTATCGTCACGAGATTCTCTTCAGGCGCTAAACCCATCCAGATGTGTCGGCGTGTGACAGGACACGGTATACACATTTGCATAGCGGTTCGGTCTTCCTGGTGTTCGCAGAAGTGTATTTATTTCTTGCTGTTTCCCTCTCCCAACCACCAGTGTGCCTAATCCGGTCCTTAGAATCAGGGGAGAGAGGGAGACAGATTTGATTGTGGAGAGTGGGAATTCCACGTGGGCTGAGACTTGTCTAGCTTTGCATCTGCCGTATTCCCAGAGCCTGTGACGAGTCTAGCCCTGTGCCTACGGTACTGAGTACACAGTAAACACTGGAGCAAGTGCAGAGCCTTGCAGTTTGCTAATCACATGTTAACCTCAGAGAGGTTTGAGGCTGCACTGGGTGAGAATAGGTATCATCCTGTCGTTACTGGAAGGGCGAGCCTGGGAGAGCTCATTCCGGCATCTGTGTTCCAGGTCGGGATCCAGCAGCATTCAAAGGCAGCTCTGGGGGCGTCACAAGTAGGTGCTGCTCTTCCTTGGCTCTGCTGGTTTGGACGGAAGTCCCTTTGACTTGGGACTGCAGGAAAGGATGAGCCTGAGAATTGATTTTGCCTTTTTTTTTTTTTTTACCCTTACGGCTTTTGCCATAGGGCACATATACGAGACAGAGAGGATGGCCAGGCCACAATCCCTTCTCATCTGTTTCCCTCCTGGGATTTTGGGCATGCACACACAGGTGCCCAACACGATTTTCAAGCTGCCAGGTCTGGAACTCGAACTGTGGTCAGCCATGTGGGAGTCCAGAACCTTAACCATCACCCCACGTGCTGGCCCTCAACTGTGCCTTTCTCTTTCTCCTGTTTCTCTTTGCCTTGGGTCCTCCTGGCTCTGAGCAGGGCAGCTGGATGAGATTGCTATTAACTCACGGGCACTTTGGAATAATGCAGGTATTTATACAGGCAGCAGGAACGTGTCTCCACGGTGAGAGCACTGAGCACTGACGTAAACAGAGCGGTGGGTGGACAGGGCACTTGACCCGTCAGGTAGGCAGTATCTTCCCAGACCTCCTACAGGAGCCAGTGAAGGCCGGACCAGCGCTTTCCCAGCTGTAGCGCCAGCCAGTGCCCGGGGGGTTGATCGTAGTCTCTCCACCTCCGTCGCAGGCCGAGCAGCAGAAGAAAGCCGCCATCATCTCTGCCGAGGGCGACTCCAAGGCAGCCGAGCTCATCGCCAACTCGCTGGCCACGGCGGGCGACGGTCTCATCGAGCTGCGCAAGCTGGAGGCCGCGGAGGACATTGCGTACCAGCTCTCGCGCTCCCGGAACATCACCTCCCTGCCGGCGGGGCAGTCCGTGCTCCTCCAGCTGCCCCAGTGAGGCCACCCCGCCCGGCTGCTGGGCCACAGCGCCCATGGTTCTCGACACAACGTCCTTCCACCCCCACCCCAGAAATCACTGTGACATTTCATGATTGGCTTAAAGTGAAGGAAATAAAAGTGAAATCACTTCAGATCTCTAATTACTCTACCAGGTGAAGCTCTTTCATTCTGCCCATACCCATCAACTTTTTATGCACCTCTCTACCAGAACTGCCAAGTGCCTACGCAGACTGGCTTCGGGTCCCAGTTGAGGGCCCGTTGGAGCCCCGACCTAGGCATTGGCAATGGAAGAGAGGCAGGGCAGTGCGTGGGTGGTGCAGCCCGAGAACACGTGGCCCCTGTCCTGTCGGTCACTGAAGATTCGAGGATGACAGCGACAGCACGGCTCTGAGAGGGCAGGCCTCAACTCTCCCGTGGTTCCTGGTGGACGCCGCTGAGGAGGAGCCACAGAGGGTCAGAAAGGACGTGGTCTCTTCATAGGCCGATGCCCTTTAGCTGCAAGCAGCAGAAGCAGGTGTGTAAGACCTGGGCAGGGCTGGAAGAATCTGCCCCTTTCGAGGTGGGTGGGCCTGATTCTGCTCCCCCAGGGTCCTAAACTTGGATCGGACTTGGATAGGGAGGGAGGAGGCCTGGACAGAGATGTGAGTCCTGTGGAAGACTTCCTCCACCCCCCACCTGGTCCTTGTGGACACCCAGTGGGATTCCAACGGGAAGAATCGCATCCTGCCTTCCTGGCTCCCTCCGTCGGAGGCTGCCCCACTTCAAGGCTCGGGCCTGCGCTTTGAAGGAAAGGGCCGTGGGAAGAAAGTAAGCGTGTGCAAACTGCTGTCCACAAGTGACACCCGGCCCTTCCAGCGCAGTCGTACGGGTTGGCGTTTTGTTTGGGAGCCGCGAGGTCAGGACAGAGCATTCTGGTGGTGGTTCTGTGCACATGTTTCTATCACTAGCTGGGACAGACGCTCCAGCGCAGCTGAAAATTCTTTGGTTTTAGGAAATGTGTGCGCTGTTCCAGATCCGTACCCAGCCTGAAAGGAATCTCAGTGGTACCGGGAGATGGGTTCGCAGGAGGCAAAGGTGGATGGAGCCTCACTGAGTTCCCTGTGTCCGGCACCGTTACTAACAGGAGGTTGCAGGCCTGCCCTCCAACGGACAGCGCCACTTTCCCTGCTGGGAGGGAAGGCCCGGGACCCAGGAGCCCCCCCAACCCACCCTTGGAATTGGCTCTTGTATACATTGGGGGGTCCTGTGCTTGGCAGTGAGTTCATGCTGTGTGCCCTGCTTTACTTTGACAGATGTGGAAATCGGAAATGCCTTGGCATTGGTGGGGGGTCACGTGTGCATTTTGGAGGGACCTGAAAGGAGGTGCAGGAGGGTAGGGAGGAAGTGGGCTGTCTGACTGAAGGCTGATTCCCCTTCCGTGGGAGTGAGAGCCAAACCAGTTTCCCCCTCAGATCTTTTTAGGAACAAGCCAGAAACAGCACAGCGAGCACACAGCCTCGACTGCCTCACCTCTGCGCTCCTCAGTCCTCATGGCCGCCTGGCCAGAGTGGGGGTCTTTGAGAAGACTGCAGGCCTGTCCTGGATTCTGCGTCTCCTATCCCAGAGTGACAGGCCGAGTGTCAGCTGAGAAAGAAGGGACCTTAAGCACAGATTTGAGGTGGGACTGGGGATTGGTTTTTGCAACCTCTATACCCTGTACCCCTCCTGGAGCCTCCCAGTAGGGCCCTGGTCCCTTCCCCGGGACAGACCACAATGTGGGTCAGTGTGACCCTCGACTGAACCTCCCACCAAAGCCTCGTTCTGCGGGACGCTCCCGTGAGCTGCCCTAGCCCATTTCCCTGCCACCTCACGCAGTGTCGTTTATCAGGCCCCCCGGATCCCACTTCTCACTCCCACTTCCCACTCAGATCCCTCTCCCCACTGGTATTCTGCTGTGAGCACGACAAGGCCAGCCTACGAGTGATGAGGTGCCTGGATTCGCAGAGCGCGTTACAGACTGGAGCAGAAAGCGTAATTCCTAAATAAGTTCCAGACCGGCTTCCATTGCAGCCTTCTTCCTTTCCTGCCATTTATTGCTCTGGACACCCTTTGGTGGGGGAGGGCAGGGCCGGGCCGGCAGCTCCTCTCTCCCCCAGGCCCTTTTTAAAGGAGCAGTTGTGTTTCCTGCATCTGGCGGGAGATTGGGTTTCGTATTGCAGGTGTCTGCAGAGGAGCCCCAAGCTAAGACACCCACTGCACAGCTTCTGGGGTCCTGCCTTGGGGTCAGGCCAGGCTTCCTGCTGGCTTTGCCATTAGCCCCCCGTCACGGGTGGCAGCAGCTCATCCTAGTGGCAGCCCCTGGGCCTCATTCTGCCCTGACCTCTGCCAAGTAATTCTTTTCACAAATGTTCAAGAGCTGTTCCTGACTCCAGAGCCCCAGAGTCCCCCAGTGGCCTCTGGGTTTCTCCAAAAGCTGCCACAATGGGTCTTTATCAGCTGGGGATGCTCTGGGTCTTGGATTAAAAGCCATGTCCTATCCTGACCGGGAAAGGGTAGAACAGGAAGTGTCTTCTGGCCTCTGTCTGAATAGTCCCCTTGTTCAGGCCCCAAAGGGCCGCTCACTTGCTAGGAAAGCCAGTGGACCCTGGACGGGAGAGGAGAGAAAAACCTGTAAGGGTGTCTTTCATCTGGGTTCGTGTCTTACAGAGCTGCCAGGGTGGGATGGAGAGGAGGAGCACTGTGGTCATCTCTAGGTGGGCCTGTAGGAAAGACAGGGAGATCATGGCTTATCACTTTTTTTTTTTTTTTTTTGAGTTTTGTTTTTGCTGAAGGGTGCACATGATTGTCAGAGAGAGGGGGAAAGTAAGAATTCACCCCCTGGGTGGATGGCCACACCGCAGTCCCTTCTCCTTTAGTCACCTCTTGGAATTTGGGGCACACATGCACACGTGCCTGACATGATTTTCAAGCTGCCGGGTCCAGGACTTGAACCACGAAGCTGGCCATGTGGGATCCAGCGCTTTAACCTCCACATGACCTGCCGTCCCTTTAGCTGTTACTCTAATAAGACATTCCAGCAGGGCATGTGCTGTCAGGACCTTCCCTTTACCTTCATCACTTGCCAATAATTGTGGGCAAAGCAGCCCACCCTGACTGAAAATAACCTGATGTGGGATCAGCAGGTGACATGGTGGTTAAGGTACTAGATTTCCATATGACCAAACTGTGGTCTGAGTCCTGTGTGCAGTTGCTTGAAAATCACACTAGCCGTGTGTGTGTGTGTGTGTGTGTGTGTGTGTGTGTGCACGCACGCGCCCCCAAATCTCAGGAGAATGCAGGAAAAGGGATTGTGGTGTGGCCGTACCCCCTGGGGGGCGATTTCTCACTTCCTCTCTGTCTCTGTCTCTCTCTGCTGAACTCACATGCCCTACAGCAAAAACTTAGGGGGAAAACAAACCTGGTGAGAAGGTCACGGGGGCTGTGGTGGAGTTCCTGCTTTTCCTGGGTCTGCCCTTCACCCTGCACACCGCTCCACCCTTCGTTTTTCTTTTTTTCTTTTTGGAGAGGTTTTTGCTATAGGGCGCGTGCGCTCGCCAGACAGACAGAGAGACAGAGAGATAGAAAGCGAGAAATCCCTCCCCTCCGGGGGGATGGCCACACCGCAATCCCTTCTCCTCCATTCTCCTCTCGGGATCTTGGGCACGCACGCACACGCACCTGGCGTGAGTTTAAGCCGAATCGCGGTCGACTATGTGGGAGTCCAGCGACATAGCCATTACGCTAACTGCTGATCCCCACCCTTCATTTTTCTAAAGCAAGTCTCATCCCCGCACTCCTGGCTTAACGAGTGCACATGCCTGGTCCTGGCAGGCAAGGCTCCGTGAGCTGGCCGCCCAGTCTAGCCTAACGTGGTGGTTGACTGCTTGCCTCCCAAGCCTGCCTAGTGCTTCCACAGGGCAGGGAGCGTTGTCTGAAAATGGCAGGGACAGCATGGGGTGAGAGGAGAGGAGGTAACGGGACACTCCCAGACCCACTTCATCAGTGACACCCTCCGCTGAAAACACAGACAGTTCACCCCATGTTTTAGTGCACCTCCTCTGCTCACAGGCGCCTCATCTTAGACAACCTGTTCCCAGAATTCACAGGTCTGGCCACTCTCCTTTGAATCCTAGCTCAATTTCTTTTTTTTTTTAAATAGTTTTTGCTCTAAGGTGTGTGTGCTTACCAGAGAGCGACAGAGAGAAGGAAGGTGAGAAATCACACTCCAGGGGGAGATGGCCACACCACACACCACAGTCCTTCCTGCACTCTCCTTTCACACGTGCCCGCAGTGATCTTCAAGCCACAGGGTCCAGGACTTGAACTGCCCAACGGTCATGTGCGATCCAGCACCTTATCCTCCACGCCTCCTGCTAGCTCAAATTCTTTGTCTTCCACAACACTTCCACTGACATCCCCTCTTCCCTGGGCCCATCACCTCTTCTATGCCCGAACGCTTAGCCGCATTCCCGTGAGGTGTTTCATTCGCTCTGTTGGATCGTGGCTATATACGTGTGCGTGTCTGTGTGTTCTGTCCTACTCTGCAGTTGTGGAGAGTAAGGTCCCCTTTTCTTTCCCCGCGTCACCCTCTGACCTTTGCCAAGTCAAACACGCCTGGTTCTCGGAAGGAATTCCTGAGTGTTGAGTGCGTGGCTGAGGGAATAGAGCGAAGGGACGGATGTTGGAAATGAGAGCTGGAAGCCAGGGCTCTGGAGGTCCCCCGTGGCCCCCCCCCCCCCCCCCAGCCCGCCCCCCCCCCCCGCCAGTACTTCACATTACCTCAAGCTGCTCTGATTTCTGATTCGGGGTTCTCTGCGGCTAGAAGGCCCACCTCTCCACTAATGCCCCGCCCCCTCACCCCGCCCAGTTCCTCAGGCCATCCCTCTCTGGCTTCTATGGCCTCAGTGTGTGGACCCTGCCCACAACCCTCTCCAGCTTCTGCCTGGGGCACCACTCTGCTCCCTCCTCCCCAACCCTTCGCTGTCTCTCTCCAGCCCAATTTACAGTCCCCTTCTCTGGAAATTCACCTCGGGCTGACCTTGTCCAGGCTGTCCTTGTATATCAGGTCTCCCTTATAAAAGAGACACTGGCTCTGGGACTCTGGCAACACTGGAACCGAGGAGTGAACAA